TTACTGAGCACAAATTTTCCAGGTTTTTCCCGCTGGATTTTGTTTTGCTTTGCATTACAGAATTTTCCCAAGCATTCTTATAAAAAAAATCTCAAGAGAAAAATTCAAACAGAAATTTGAAATCTATTGGCTTTTTCTTATCGAATATCCAATAGAGTCAGCGCAAAAAACAAATAGAATTTTTCAATAGAAATCCTACAGAAACAGAATTTTCCAACGAATTCGCTGGGTTTCCTATTGAATTTTTTCATCCGTGAGCGCTCGTCGTTTTTCGTGTGGATGAGAGAAAAAAATTCACAATACCATGGACGTCAATGGGTTAATGGAGATTGATGCTGAAAAGGAAAAACGAAATTATGAATATAATCCTCCTGCGTAGAAGCAGAAGGTGCAGCCGCGTTCGCGACGATGATCCTAGACTTGTCTATGGTCGATATCGTCAGCCTGCATCGCGAAGCCCGTACGGCACACATCAGCATACGCATCAGCATTCACATCAAATGCACGAGGAGGAGGGAATCTATGAAACTGCCGATCCTGACAGAGGCTCAAACACTAGGGGTGAAACGCCCGATAGCGAAAGGTATCGGTCGTCAATTACCAATCCAAAAGCACACGATGAAATGAGAACAAACAGACAACAACTGATTTGAGCAGAAATGAAAATTGAATATTCTACTGCAAAACAAATCCACCAACACCTCCCCCCCCCACACTCCCCCCAATCAACAAATGATAATTCAAGCCACTGGGAAGCAATTAGAGCGGCGGGGAATCCCCAGAAAAGTGCGCGGAAATGGATCGACCGACCAATCGCGCATACTGACGGAAAAAATTAATTTTATCAAGAGAATTTCATTCGAGGCAACTATCATTCGGTTGTTAATTTCCAAATAAACATGATTTCATAGTGAATAGCAGTTATCTCCTCTTGAGATACATTTGATTGGGAGTAATCGAACGTCTCTAGAATTGAAGTTCCTTTTATTAGTCGCAATAATGAGAGCAATTCAGTAGCGAAGTGGTCAACCGGGTTAAGTCGATGTCAACTATTGGCCAGTTTTTGACGAATATCTCGGAATCTAGAAGAGATAGACAATTTTTTGTCATGACCTTTTTTGTAGAGTCAATTGAGGGTTATAAGAAAGGTTATGGGAACAATTTTGCTATTTCTCTTAGATTCTGAGATATTCATCAAAAACTGGCCAGAAGTCAAAATCGACTTAACTCGGTTTACCACTTCGCTACTGAATTGATTTCTCTCTAGCCAAAAGCTTGCCAACTCCAGAAATTCGTTGGTTTACTCAAACATCAAAATTATTCTCGTGACTAAATACGGTGTTATCTCAATCAACACGATCATACGTTGTTCCAAGTACATTATAATTGAAGTGAGCATTTCGTATCCAACGGATTACGGAAAAAATTACAGTAGTACGCAGCTCTAATAGTCAGCCATCCCAGCGGCTTGGACCCCCTAGCGGAGGCTTTAGAAAATTTATAATAATTTTGCTATTGGAGGTAAATCGAAAGAGTTTCAAAGTTTTCCACAACCCGACTAACAAACGTCGGACCTTGCATACCACATAATCCCGAAAATAGTTGAAAGCACATGAGCGAAACAAACAGCAGAGAATTTTCGCTCCACCACGCCAGTCCTATTTTCTGTGCATTCAACTGTTCTCGAGTAACATGTCTAGCCAATAATAAACTGGATATTGGAACGAGAGAGCCAGACTGTTTGAGCGAAAAAAAAGAGAGAAAAAAAGAAGGGAAAATGTCTCTTTGGGCATGCTTGCAATTTTTTTAGCCGTCCGTGTTAAAAATATAAATCCATACGGGGCTTGGTCATAGTCTTGTTATTTTCTAGTGATGCATTTATTCAAGCTCAACAACCATTAGCCCGGTGGACGAGTGAGGACAGGGTAGAGCGTCGGCCACCCCAGCAGCCGCCACCCACATCGTCATCTACGACATTACCGGCAACAACATTAACAGCAAATAAACAACAGGAATTCATTCTCCAGCAACGACTGCCGGGTGAACAACTGCCAATAAAACAACGCGGCTACTATCCATCCCCGCCCCACACTGACAATGGTCACGATAATGATACTAAGATCATCACAAATGCTCAATCCCAACAACAATTAAAATTAATATGCCCCGAATTACGTGGTATCGATGTGAATCACACGCCTAATAATAAAAAATGCCCACTAGACGATAACACTAGTCTAGATTGTAACATAAATAATGGTAATCCAAATGAATTAAATACCAACAACACTAGTGATAATGAAAATACTGCCCTACTTACCCCTACGCATTTTCCTGAGTACAAGCATTGATAATTATTAAATCGATGACAGATAGTGTCCACATGACGAATGGATTCAAACGATTATTATTAACTCGATCGAACAACAACAACAGCAACATGATAATGATGATGAAAAAACAATACTAACATAGTGGTGTGATTTAATCTCGAACTCGCATTTTATACTGAATAGTGTAAATAACGATTTGAAAGAAAAATAATGAAAAAGACCTACAATTGCGACAGCAGGTATTTAAAATTATAATGAACTAATCTATATGAAATGTTTATTAATAAACATTAGGAAAATTATTGACTCGGTGGTTTTTTATTGCTCGTCTGGCCGCCCTTTTCTCCCACTGGTTGATTTTTTTAAATGGATGAGAGTGAGCAGAGCTGATGGGGTATTTCTGTAATTTTCTACGAATTTGGCCCTTATTAATGAAGGTTTAAAATGTGGTCATCTAATTTTTTTAATGGTAGAAAGTTAATAATTAGATTTTTCCGAATAATGATGATGTAATGATAAATTTACCATTTAGTGAATAATTTAAATTCCTTAAAAGGGGATTTTCGATTACACAAATAATCGCGTCTTCCTACCTCAATTATTGATTGATAATGTAATTAAAAATTTGAATATTTGAATTGATGATAGTTAACTACTCAAAAAATTTGAGAGTGATGTCAACTAATTGATGGCAACAACATAATAATTAATTAATAATTATCTCAGCTTACCTTGTCAATTTGAAGTGAACTGCAGAGGCCGCAAATATTAATTTCGTCTCACAATCACTCACAACTCTCACAGTAGCTCTACACCAAATTTTTTTAATCGTTATTTTACGTCGGCTTCGACCCGGGGTACGCTGCGATGATGATCAAGACTTTAAGGTACTTCCTCAGGATAACTTTGGGGTATAGAGTGGGGGTAAACACCAAAGGTGCCAACACTCCGCGCATCGTTCGAAAAAAATGAAAATTTCAAAGGTTCAAGAGTGAATTTAAATTTTGTTGATCGGATTCCTTTTTATTTATGACTCATAATTATTCAACCGACGATTTTTTTATCCTCAAATTTTTTTTAATGATTTAATGATTTTATGATTTTATTAATAAATTGAGAGGATCGCCGGAGATCCGGCAACAAGTCATTTTCGTTAGACGAAGTTGGTGTTACTGTCCTTTGATATGAACCTATACTACACTATAGTGGATTTGCTTCCATTTACTATGGGACCTACAGTCGAGCTAACCCTGTACATTATTATTATTATTATTATTATTATTATTATTAAAGCTTTTTATTTATGTCCTGGGGTTTAATGAGGGCCCCCTAAGGACGACCCAAGTAAATTACATGATCATTAATCCATAAAGAATGAGAATATGATATAGGAGTTAGAGAACAAGATATGCATAAATCACCCACAGGATATAGGGGAGGCTGGGGTAAAACGGACACTTTTGACTTTTTTTTAAATGTTAATGAGGGGTTAAAATGTTGATAAAATTGAATAATTTTTTTTTCAATACAAAGAACAACTTTTTCCCTTTGTGACGAGCCTAAACTGAGCCCAATTGATAAATTTGTTTCTGAGTTATACATAATTTTTAAAAAGTCTAAAGTGTCCATTTTACCCCACCCTCCCCTACCCAGGTAAAATAATACATTATCATTGTCATCCAGTCACTCGATTTTTATAAAATTATCTGCTATCTGCCATTTTTCCCTAGTTTAACGAAAATTCAGGAGCGAAGCAGTAAACCGGGTTAAGTCGATTTTAACTGTTGGCCAGTTTTTGACGAATATCTCGGAATCTAAAAGAGATACAAAAATTTTTGTCACAACCTTTTTTGTAGAGCCAACTACGGGTTACAAAAAAGGTAATGAGCAAAATTTGGCTATCTCTCTTAGATTCCGAGATATTCATCAAAAAATGGCCAAAAGTAAAAATCGACTTAACACGGTTTACCGCTTCGCTACTGAATTCATGACCCTGTGATACATTTTTAATGATTTCTCAAAATCTGCGCAGTAATAAATTATGAAATTGCAGAGATATATTCTTGGAATGTGTTTGACGGTGGAAATTGGATATTCGCATTGCTTCTCCATTGTCGATGCTCATACTGAGCAGTTGAAAAGTGACTCTCATAAGACGCTGTACAAATTATATTTTAATCATTCTTTTTACAAAAAACTGAGCAGTGAATTGTGCTCGGACTCCTTGCGACATATTTCTGGCTGTTTCAAGACTTTTCCCTCAAACTTTCGCATTTTTTGTAGGAGAGGGTAGGGTAAAACGGACACTTGACTTTTTAGAAATATTTATGACGTGTTGAATTGTTCATGAAATGGAATAATTTTATGTTTCAATTGAAAAATAATGATTCGTCTTTATGATGAGCTTAGACTGAGCTCAATTGATAAATCTGTTTCTGAGTTATGAATATTTTTCAAAAAGTGTCCATTTTACCCTACCCTCCCCTACATTGTTGACTGTTCCCGTATAAGTGACTGAGGAAGTACCTTAAATGGAGATCTCACCATTTTTCCCGGCCAAGTTTTGAACTCGGAACCTTTCGCATGTGAGGCAACGAACCCACTGCGCCAAGCCGCCAAGTGCACTGGCTAGTCCCACTATGTTCACGCCAGTGAATCCGTCTCCAGTCAACTTCAGACTGCTCCGCTGCGGACGTTTCTGCACGTGTCATACCTCGAATTTTCCATATTTTTGGATTACGCTGCTCCCCTGAGTGAATTTAAGGCAAAATCACTCGTTGCAATTGTTTAATTCCCTCACTGTTGACCGAATATCGAGAAAAATGAGTACAATCCTGGAGAAAATCGCGGCCATCGAGCAGGAGGTAACCTCTCAAACTTTCCCACAATATAAAAATCACAATTCAAGTAAATTCAAAATGAAATGAAATGGAGCAATTGGTAACGCGAAAAGATGACAAATTAATGCAATATTTATCGGGCGCAGATGGGTCGAACCCAGAAGAACAAAGCAACTTCTGGCCACTTGGCTATGCTAAAAGCAAAACTAGCGAAACTTCGACGTGAATTAATTACCCCAAAAGGAGGTGGCGGCGGTGGGGAACAGGGTTTTGAAGTGGCTAAAACAGGAGATGCAAGAATAGGCTTTGTGGGTTTTCCCTCGGTTGGAAAGTCAACTTTACTCAGTACTTTGGCTGGAGTTTATTCCGAAGTTGCTGCCTATGAATTCACAACGCTAACGACAGTCCCTGGTTGTATTAAATATAAAGGTGCTAAAATTCAGGTGAGAACTCCAAATTGTCTTCAACTTAAGGATGTTCTACACCCTTTCTGCCAAAATTCACGTTTTTTTAATTTTTCTGGCAAACTTATGATGGAATTGACGTGAAAAAATATAACGTTTTTGCGTTTTGTCATTATTTAATGACTGACGAAATTTTAAGGTGGTGCGAACATTTTCCTGCGTTTTCTCTAAACTTTTAAAAAGAATCACAAAACTGTAGAAAAAACGCATGAAAATTATCGCACCACTACGCAACTTCGTGAGCCATTAAAGAATGACAAACCACAAAATCGTTATATTTTTTCACGTCACTCCCATCGATAATTTGCCAGAAAAATGANAAAAAATTGGCCAAAAGTCAAAATCCACAAAATCGTTATATTTTTTCACGTCACTCCCATCGATAATTCGCCAGAAAAATGAAAACAACGTCAATTTTGGCTAAAAAGGTGTCGAACATCCTTAAGGATGTCCAAGTACTTTGGCTGTTGATAAAATCAATTTCACCGAAAAAAAATTTCGGTGAAATTGATTTTATCATTTAAACTTTGAAGGTGTGAATTTGAATCGTAATATTGAACCGTTAGAAGACATTTTGAAAATTTGGAAAAAATTGTAAAGTTTACTCTCGAGGGAGGATTGATGAAGTAATTTATAAACAATCAATTTTCCAGCAGAAAAATCATTTTACCAGAAATCGATTTCATGCCTGAAAAAATAGATTTCCAAAAGTTTAAAAAATTTCAATCATTTATTTATAAACAACGAATGCTTCAAAAATAATAATTCTGTGCACTTTGTTTTCTCACGGAATTTAATTGACAAATTTGATGATTGAACGGTTTAATCTGTAGTGTGGTTTATCCTAAACTCCAAAAGACACTTGGATATCCTTAAATATAGATCAACTTGAATATAAAACAATAAAAAATAAACCGTGCCCGTCAGTTACTCGATCTCCCTGGAATTATCGAAGGTGCTAAAGATGGAAAGGGTCGAGGAAGACAAGTTATCGCAGTAGCAAGAACTTGTAGTCTGATATTTATTGTCCTGGACGTACTGAAGCCTCTGGGCCACAAGCGACTTATAGAACACGAGTTGGAGGGCTTTGGGCTTCGGCTCAACAAGCAGCCGCCCAATATCAATTTTCGAAAGAAAGATAAAGGCGGCATCAATCTCCAGACAATGGTGAGTCTCCCCTCAACCACTCGAAATCCTCTAAATCCTAATGGAGAACACAACAAAATCGATTGTTTTCATTAGTGTACGCAATCAGAGTTGGATTTAGATACAGTCAAGACCATCCTGGCCGAGTACAGGATTCACAATGCGGATATTACGTTGAGATACGACGCGACGGCAGACGATCTCATTGACGTAATCGAGGGAAATCGTGTTTACGTACCTTGCATTTATTTACTCAATAAAATTGGTATTTATTTTTTCCCACATCATCCGGAATTAATTGAGGCAGCCTATCTCGTGTATTTATCCTTTGCCTTCAATTGCAGATCAAATAAGCATCGAAGAGTTGGATGTCATCTATAAGATCCCCCACTGCGTCCCCATCTCCGCCCATCACAAGTGGAACTTTGATGACTTGCTGGAGAAAATGTGGGATTACCTCCAGTTAGTGAGAATGTAAGTCGCACACGTTCATTCTAACAATCGACTATTGAATAAATACTGCTGCGTATTTCCATTTTCCCTTTCTCCTGTCATTCCTTTTTGTTTCTCTTTTTCGCCCCAAAATCTTTGATAAACAGTTATTTATTTATTAAATGTACCCATTCTTAACAATACTTTATTGTCGATGTGCTTTCAGCTACACGAAACCCAAGGGTCAATTGCCAGATTACAATTCGCCTGTGGTGCTCAATACAGATCGACGAACAGTGGAAGATTTCTGCAACAAGCTGCATCGATCGATCGCTAAGGAATTCAAATAGTGAGACTCCTCGATTATCTTCGATTTAAAACAGTTTTGGACAAAACCAAATGCTCAAAGTACTATTAATTATTTTCAGCGCTCTCGTCTGGGGCTCGTCCGTGAAACATCAGCCCCAAAAAGTTGGAAAAGATCACGTTCTGTGCGACGAAGATGTCGTGCAAATTGTGAAGAAAGTGTGATCGAATACTCTATTTCTCCTCAGGATTTTAATAACCGAGAAAGGTTGAATTATGATATTCGATGCATAAAAGGTACAGTGGATTCTTTTATACGAACTTCATAAAAAAACAGAGAGAACTGCACTCAAACTCACGAACGAGTTGGAGATTCGAATAGTTCGCACATTTCATTGTAATATAATTGTGAGAATAAAATTGAAAATTGAACGCGTCCATCGATTGCACAAAAAATTATCACTGCACTATTATAAATCTTTCAAATACAAAATTGTTATTCAAGTGAATTCATAAGGACTTCAGAACGTATTCCTTTCTCTGTTGATCCAACAACTTCTCCAAATGATCACACCTGTTCCTGGACTCGTCAGCTTCTTTAGATATTTTATTGATCATCACATCCTTCTGGGTCATGATTAATTTTACCCTGTAAAATAGAGTTTTGTAGTTTACCCGTCGGTTGGGTGGGAAGTAAAATGGAGTTATTTTCACCTGCTGTACACTTGAGCCATGTGCGACTCTTTATTGCTATTGATCTCCGTTATTTCTTTGTATAGCGAAGCAATTCTTTCCTCCAGCTCCCTCTTCTCGTGCTCAATCTCCTGCCTAGCTAAATCCTTGGCCTGATCCTTCTCTCTCGTCAATTTTTCCACCATCTGTGGGTAAATAATAACAATGCAGTAGCGAAGTGATCAAACGATTCAAGTCGATTTTGACTGTTGCCTAGTTTTCAATGAATATCTCTAAATCTAAGGGAGATAGTAAAATTGTTGTCATGACCTTTTTTGTAGAGCGAATTGAGTGCTACAGAAAAGGTCATTATAAAAATTTCGCTATCTCCCTTAAATTCGGAGATAACTCTCGAAAACTCAAGTAAAGACCAAATTGACTTAAACCGGTGGCGCAATTCGCTACTGAATGCATTCAATCATGATCTTAATGTTCACAATTGAACGAAAATTCGATTAATGCGAAGGGATAGTTACGCGATCAGATTCATTTAAGTCGGCCAAGCATTTCCCCAATCTAGTCTCCATTTTTTCCAGATCAATTTGAATATTTTCCAGTTTCTGCTCAGTTTTCATCAACTTTTCTTTCGTAAATTTCTCATTCTCCCGGCTCATTTGTAGATCAGTTTCATATTTTTCCTTCATGCATCTGAAAAATGTACAAGTTCTCAGCAATTAGTGGTCAAGTTAATCGATGTGAAACCGAGCCAAATAAACATTGCGAAAACCTTAATTTATTGTCTCCACATTTCTGCATGCTAGTCTTCATGTCTCTCGTTTCCTTCTCCAATCTCTCAATAACGAGTTCAATCTGCCTGTCTCTCTCCCGATCGCATTCATCGCGAATCCTAGCCTCAGACATCTCAAACTTCGTGATCTGCTGTCTCTTGAAATTTTCCACCCACGCGTCTCGCTCGGCTTTGAGTGCCTCCTTCAAATTTTGTTTTTCAATTTCACTCTGCCTCATCAACTTCGCAATTTTCTCCTGTGCAAAAAAATGTCATTAGAGTTGCTCCACTCGTTCTCCATTTCACGAGTAAAATTCAAAAACCTGAAATTCATGGGAGATGGACTGCACAACAGCTTCGTGCTCCTTCTTCTTCCTCCCAAGTTCATCAGAAAATAGTCTCTTCTCATTCTGGAGATCCTCGAAGTATTTTCTTTGCTGCGCCTGCATGAGCGTCTCCTGCTCGTCGAATTTCTCTTGAAACCTGGCCCTCAAGGCCTCCCTCTCAGTGGCTGCAAGCTTGTCATGACTCTCCGTCAACTCCAAACGCAGTTGCTCCAACTGCTGATTGGATCTGCGAATGGTCCTCAGCTCCACGTCTTGGAGTTCCTTCATGTGAGCACTCCTGATGTCTTGAATCTCCTGCTGATGTTGCTCTACCATTGAGCGCAGCTCCGGCTCCAAACCCTTGACCGTCATCTCCTGGAAAAATTAATTGCTCGCGTCATTGAGCAGTTTTTTCGTCTTCCCTTTCTAATGAAAAATCCAATGTAACGGTTTTTGAAGCCAATCTACTCCGCCTGACGTGTTCTTTCTTTAGCATTATACTATCATATAATATATTATATTATGATGTATTAAAATGGTTTTTTAATACTTTTTTTCAATTTTGATATGATAAATAACATGAAATAACATGAAACAAACAATAACATAAAATAGAATATTTATAAAATGAAATTAACGTAAATAAAATATCATATAATCATATAATATAATATATTATATTATGATGTATTAAAATGGTTTTTTAATACTTTTTTTCAATTTTGATATGATAAATAACATAAAATAACATAAAACAAACAATAACATAAAATAGATTATTTATAAAATGAAATTAACGTAAATAAAATATAAATACTATAAATATTGTATTATATCTAATATAATATATACATACTAAACTAAATAGAAAAAAGAATTAAATTTCAGTATTTTAAATTGCAAATCCTCAACACTTTTTTTAAAAAACAAATAATTCACAGTCGTGTCTCAATTCATGATGATTCTGTTTTGGTTTTTTACCTGCAGAGAATAATTTTGATTTTTCATAATAAATAAAATCCCTGTTCGACCGAAGCTTAATATTGCTTTCATCACAAATGATTTAGAATTTGAATTGAAAATGATAATGTATACCTGATACTCATTCCCTTGGTAATTGAAAAAACGAAAAAACCCGTTCATTCTTCGAGAAGTTGATAAATTTTCAGTCTTCAAAATTTCTTATCTCAAAATCGCAATTGTGTTTTTTCACTCGATTCGTGTGTGAACGTGGATAATCCAAATACCAATGATTCTTATGGAGTGAATATACTTTGGAAGAACCGAATGGACTTCAACATAATCTACCACAATCGTATTAACTTTTAATATTAGTGGAAATCCATCGAAAACATCTGTATCTCGGTTCTACCAATTCCTGAGGCACGTAAGGTAGAGAAAATAATTCACTTTGATTTTGGAGGTCTTGGCTTCTAGCCACCGCTCCCTCCGAATTTTCTCCGAGGCCATGCAAATCTCTCTGGCCCTCTGCAACTCCACCCCCTGTCTCTCCATGGCGATCTTCAAATCCCTCTGGAATTTCGCCTCCATCTCTCTGATTTTTTGCGCCAACACGTTACACTTCTCAGTCAATTCTCTCTTCTCCCGGATCAGTTGTTCGATGAACTTCTGATGGCGCTTTATGACATTCTGATATTTAGTCTTCTGCGTCTGGATCTGCTCTGCGTGGGCCTTCTTGTCTTGATCTAGCTTCTCGCACGCGATTTTCCTCTCACCCCTCAACTCCTCTTTCAAAACTTTGATCGTCTCCTCCCGGTCCTCGAGTTTTAGCAAAGTCGTCGCCAATTCCTCTCGCACTACCTCCGGAAGAATTTTAGCGTCATCTCTGTTCCTGCGAACAATGACGAGTTATTTGATTCTCCAGGAGTTGCCCAAAGTCGTTGCAGAATTTGAAAAATCGTAATACCTGAGAATTGTCCGCTCGCTAATAATTTGGCTCTCATTAAATAATTCCTGAATTGTTCTATCATTCCCGTAATTCTTAGGAATAACGCAATCGTGCTCCAGAGTTCCCAAAAAGGACATGATATCGTCGTAAGTTGAGCGAGAGGGTGGTCTAGTATCGTGAGACTCATCTCTTTCCGGCAAAACCTTGCGAACAAATCGATATTAAACTCCACGGACGAAAAAATTTAATAGAAAAACCTATCGAATTCGTTAGAAAATTCTATTGAATTTTTATTGAACTGTTCTCCTAGTTTTTGGCCGATTCTATTGAAATGCTCAATAGAAAATATTCAGTAGAAAAAGTCAATAGAATTCAATTTTTCTACGTAACTTATTCTCTTGAGATATTTTCTACAGAATTTCCTCGGCTCAAATTTTCCAAGTTTTTTCGTTTGATTTTCTTGATAAGAAAATCGCAAAGTCAGATTTCCCTCTCGCGAAGCGGAAGCAGGGAAATGTGCACTTTGCTTCCGCCGTGACGGAAGAAAAGAAAAATAGAATTAAAAAAAATTAAAATTTGAGTCGAGCAAATTCTATAGAAAATATTTGAAAATAATTTTTTCGTGCGTGTTTACTGATATTTAACATGTGTCAACATTTTTAAAAAATCGGCAGAGATGTGTTATTCGACCGTGTTGAAGACATAATTAAGACAATAATTCGGACCTCAATGCCGGTTATTATCTTAATTATTTCCAAGTACAAACCACAGAAACTGAAGGGAAAAACTAGTGGAAGCGCTAAAAGGAGAGGTGAACCGGCAGAAGTGCAAGGGCCTAGCACAGATAGAGAAAGTCCTACTAGGGTGCAGTGAAGAGAAGCTTTAACAGATGAGAAAATATAATCAAGACCACTAGAAGCCAGTTATAATTATATTCAAATTCCTATCCCAATTCCCCGAAATGCCAGTGGCTGAGGCTAAAAATATGAGATTAATGCTAATATTGTTATAAAATGAGATAGACTCTATCTTGATGGTTTGGCGGAAGTGTATCCACGACTTGTGCAGATGTAAAACTGTAAAAGCAGCATCAATGAAATAAATTCTATTCCATTCCTCAAAGTATTCATGACTCAGTCTGGGCTCATTACAAAAAAATTAACTGAACAAGAATGATTTCATTTCACCGACGATTGAGTGAGCTTTTAAAATTTGAAAAAAATTCCAAGGCAATAATTAATCTCACCTGATCCGGAACATTAACGCGAGCGGAAACCGAGGCCTCTTGAACCGGAATAAACGCCGTCTGAACAGGTAAAACTTCACGCTCTTGGCACAAATTCTTCTCCAAATCATCGATCATACTGCAAATCTGTTCGAAGGAGCACGAATCCGGATCGATAACATTTTGATTGCAGTCCGGAGAGCGATCGATTCCCTTTTTCTTCACCCCGGAGTCGATGAACTGGGACTTTAAGTCGTCCTGAGAGCAATCCAAGCAGTTCTTTCCCTCATTTTTGTGCAGTTTTCCCTTGACCCCTTTGGGGGCATTCCTCGGAGTGGTTTTACCCTTCCTGGGGGTCTTCTTCACCCCGGATAATTTATTTATCGGAGGCTTCGCACTGACTTTTGGATGCTCGATGTTAATCATCGCTCAGTCACTTGATTTTTTCGTGTTATTTCGAGTCTAATGACTTTTTTATTTGTTTTCCGATGAGAAAATAGAACCGGTGGGTGATTAATCGCGTCTAAATGTTGCCAGGGGCGACCCCGGCAAGTTTGAATGCTCGGGAGAATTTAAGGTGTGCTTCCAACTCAAGAACGTTGTCGACACGAATGAAAATGTCGCCACATTGGGTCAACCGCTCCGAAATGCTTCAGTGCGTTCGCTGCTGTCACTTTTGTTGCCCTGTCCTAACCTACGAACATTGAGAAAGTAAAGAATAAATAAGAACAGGATTCAACAAATTTTAGTAAATTAAAAGTTCACTGGTGAAGATATTTATCATGATGTCGCGATCGGTGAGAGCAGAGACTCGGAGTCGTGCCAAAGATGATATTAAACGTGTCATGCAGGTCGTCGACAAGGTTCGGCATTGGTGAGAAACAATTGCATTATTATTCAACAAAGTCTTGAATTAAATTGTCAACTTGATTAATTGGAAATCCCTTGGCACTGTAGGGAGAAAAAGTGGGTGACAATAGGAGAGACGACGATGAAAATATACAAATGGGTGCCCATTTCCACACTGGAACAGGTGAGGATCGTCGTGTTTTATTTGCCACTGTTATTTTGAGATTATCACGATGAGAGGGTATTTCTAACGGTGTTTTTGCGCTTTTGGTATCTTTTCGTAGAAGAAAAAATCCAAATCACTTGCTGAAAAAGAAAATGGCATACCTAGGAAAGGCATCGACTCTTCAAACTCCAATTTTGGTCTCACAGAAGATTCTAATACTTGTGAGTTATCAAGTCAGGCAAAACGGTTTCAGTGAATTTTCATTATCGGCCAGTTTTCAGTGAATATCTCGGGATCTAAGGGAGATAGCATGTTTTTTGTTATATCCTTTTTTGTAGAGCCAATTGAGAGCTACGATAAATGTCATTACGAAAATTTCGCTATCTCTCTTGGATTCGGAAATATTCCTCAAAAACTCAACTGGGAGATGAGTCGACTTGAACCGTTTTACCACTTCACTACTAAAATAAAATTTGATTGGTGATGTAGGCGAGGGTGGGGTAAAATGGACACTTTTACCTCTTTCTTCGTTACTCGGGAGAACAATTCTCTGCAGAGAACGAAAATTATCTCATTTTATTGAACATTAAATGAGTCATGAACATTTAAAAAAAAAGTTGAAAATATCCATTTTGCTACATTAGCAGGGCCAACGGATTTAATCAATTGTTTTGCCCCAGGTTTTTCTACAGTCAGTGACTCTCAAGGAATCACCGATTTCTCAACACATTTAAATTTCTCTGAAGACTCGAATTCGCAAAACAGTGAACCAACGCCAAAAGTACTCAAGACTGACTAAATCGATGTTTGTATAAATACCAGGATTTATATATTCTATTAAATAAAAATGCAGATTGAAATACACAATTTTATTCGTGACGAGATGTCAGTAAAAACGCATAGAATTTTAGACACAAAATCAACTGAATCGTCGAAAGCAAATGACAGGTGTCGACTTCAATGTTTTCTCAACTTGAGACTTTACTTCGTGCTTCGTTTGAAAATAACTGGGATTAATTGTGAATTTACACATGTGTAAACAATGACGTGAACTTTCAGTGTTCAAGGAATAATAATTGTATTGTAGGATATTTTTTTCTATTCCCGAAATTGAAAGACGTTCTCTTGATTTCATATAATTGATTAATAAAATTGTAAAAAATAAATACATCATTTTTTTCCAAAACGTCGACTGATTTCGTATTTTTGATTTATTCAAAGTGCCTGGGAATGGCTGATTTTTGTTTCTCCTCCGTTGTTTTCTGGCTAAATTGAATTTATGCGCCCAAAAAGGAAGGCTTTGCGCATTCAAGACCACTTTTTTATTCTACCAAGGCAGGAATGTCCCATCGTGCTGGAGGAAGGTGCCGTTGTGGGACTCATTGAGCCCCTGAATGGTCCTGATCATATCCGAAACTGAGGTGTCGATGTCCATTGGCGCGTTTGAGCCCCCCATATCGGTCTTGACCCATCCGGGGTGCATGCAAGCCACGAGGATTCCATCGTCGAGTAAATCAATGCTCATTGATTTGGTCGCTGCATTCAGCGCAGTCTGAAATTATTCAAAAAAAATAGTATAATCGTGATAAAGGTGGATGTGATGTGATGCGACAGATTCCGACGAGAGCAGAGACTGATTGTAATTTGTTGAGTATTTTACGTCGCATTGTTTTCCCCATTTTTCCCGGTTTTTTGCGTAAAGTTTTTTGCACTGGAATTGTTTGTATAGGATTTTTTTTCAGGATTAAATTGTGTAGGATCATTTTTTTCAAGATTTTTTTTACTAGGATTAAATGTAAATTGTTTAAAGTAGCTCTACCCTTACGGTAAATTCAAAGATTATTGAAAACTGCAAAAAAATTGCAGAAAACTCGATTAGATTGGGAATTCCATTCGCAATTTCATTTAGATAATACTGACTGGGTATGAATTTTGTCAAATTTTTTCCATGCAATTTAGTTGAAAAATTAAAAAACTGAAAATATCCAAAAGTAGATCGAGCTACTTTAAGATAATTTTTAAAGGATTTTTTGACTAGGACTAATGTCTTCAGGATTAATTTTCGAGGATTAAATGACGTCGAACCAGACCTTGCTGCATCGGTAGGGATAGAATCCTCCCATAGTATTATCCTGAATGCTAGCTATGATCGAGCTCATGTTGATGACAGCCGCTCGCTGGACTCCCATGCCCATCTTCCCTTTGGCGGCTTTCTTCAGCAGCGGTAGAAATGCCTGACATAATCAGAATAGCAGTCAATAACATGACACCAACGATTCCTACGAAAATGGACACTTCAGGCATTTCTTCAAAATCTCATACTTCAGGATTGAATCGATCAATGAAGACGAAAAAATGATTCCACTTTATCTCGATGAGGTATTCAAAATTTGAAAAAAAACCCTGAAGCCCCAATTTCATCCCTCGCCCCCTGAACTTCACCTTCGTCAGCATTATGGGCACAACAGTATTGACGAAGTAAACTTCAGTCAAGTGCTCCTCCTTAACCATTCCAATTCTCATGTATTTCGTCGCAATTCCCGCATTGTTGAAGAGCACATTGAGACCTGCATCCCCAACATTTTTGTCAACCAGATCAACAATTTCGGAATACCTCTGCGTCTCCTTCAAGTCTATCTCGATTATGTGAACATTTTTAGACTTGTCAGCAATTTTTTTCAGTTCCTACGGGAACAAAAAATTGAAACCCCTGTGAAATATCCCATTTCATGAGTTGATAAAGTCCTCTGCTTGTTATTTCACTTTAAAAAAATCCAGTGTATCGATTTTTGAAACCTCTATTTCGCTTATCAAGTAATGTAATATCAAGTCTATATTTTTTAATGTAAGGGAGAGTGGGGTAAAACGGCCCCTTTTGATTTTTTAAAAAATGTTAACAGCTCATTCAATTTTAAATGAAATGGAATAATTTTTTTTCCGTGGAAACTACACTTTTTCCCCTTTCGAATGAGCCTAGACTGCTCTCAATTAATGAATTTGTTTCTAAATTATGAGTATCACAAAAAAGTCGAAAGGGGCCGTTTTACCCCACTCTCCCTTACAATTACTGTAATTTTTTGGTTATAGTGATTGTAAAAAAAGAGAAATTCATTTCTTACTGTAATAATATATCATACAATATATTATATATTATATAATATATAATAAATATATAATATATAATATATTATAATATATTATATATTATATATTTTTTCAACCGTAAAAAAATTAATGTAATTCTGTAAAAAAAATATAATACATCCCTAAAAATAAAAGAGAATGCAAAAAGCAAAGAGAGAAACAAAGACGAAGATGAAGAGGATTATGGCGACTCCGGATAAATTATGCAACAATTAAATTGTCATTGTGAAAAACTTCGTGTCTAATTATGCTTATTCGTTAGTGGATGATTTGGGGATATGGTAGGTTGAGGTAAAACGGCCACTTTTGACTTTTTTAAAAATCAGTAGTGAAGCGGTAAACCGAGTTAAGTCGATTTTGACTATTAGCTAGTTTTTGCTGAATATCTCGGAATCTAAGAGAGATAGCAAAATTTTTCTCATGACTTTTTTTATAACGCTCTATTGGCTCTACAAAAAAGGTCATGACAAAAATCTTTCTATCTCTTTTAGATTCCGAGATATTCGTCAAAAACTAGCCAATAGTAAAAATCGACTTAACCCGGTTTACCGCTTCGCTACTGAAATGTTAATGACAGCTTGAAATGTTGATGAAATTCAATATTTTTTCCAATGCAAAGAACCTTCTTTCCCTTTGTAACGAGCCTAAACTGAGGAAAATGTGTGAATTTGTTTCTGAGTTATGACTAATTTAAAAAAAGTCCAGTGTCCATTTTACCCCATCCTACGTTTATTCGTTATGATTTGGGGATATACCCCTAAACTTTCAAACGCCGCGTGTCTAAGTGAACGTCCGCCCAGAGCGCAGCACCAACAAGGCCGCCCAACCCAGCCCGCCTCGTCCGCGATCTCCCGTTGAAATTACATTAAAAAGATTCGGATTGAGTCAGACAATCCGATTCACTGCTAGACAGATACAAAGCCCCCCCCCCCCCCCCCCCCCCC